AAGGGCAACTCATCCATCACGGAGTACGTTGGAAAAATCAGGTCCCTCTGCGATGAACTGATCGCGGCTGGGAAGAGGGTAGACGAGGATGACATCGTCTCCCACATCTTAGCCGGGCTCGAGGAGGACTTCGACCCGGTGGTTTCTGCTATGTGCTCTCGGGTAGAACCCGTGAGTGTGGCCGAGCTGTATTCACAGCTCCTCAGCTTCGAGACGAGGCTGAACCTTCGTGGTGGAGGATCTCAGTCCTCTGCCAACGCTGCCACTCGTGGCCGCAAATTTGGCGGCGGAGGTGGTGACCGTGGCCGCAGACAAGACGGCGCTGGTGGTGATCGCGGCGGTCGCAGCGGAGGCCGTGGCGGTTGCGGTGAACATGGTGGCAACGGCGGCGGTGGAGGCAACTACAACAACAATGCCTCTGCGCCCAGGGTGCAGTGCCAGATCTGTGGCAAGATGGGACACCCAGCATGGAAGTGCTGGAAACGCTATGACGACTCCTACCAAGGAGGAGAAGAGAAGTCAGCAAATCTTGCAGCGCCACAATATGGGGTAGACACCAACTGGTATCTTGACAGTGGTGCTACTGACCATATCACGGGCGATCTGGAGAAGCTAACCATGCGAGACCGCTATCAAGGGAACGAGCAAATCCACACCGCGAGTGGTTCAGGTATGGATATTAAACACATTGGTCATTCAGCCATTCACACCCAAGATCGTGATCTTGTTCTAAATAATATCCTTCATGTACTCGAAGCAAACAAAAGCCTAATCTCCGCTAGCCGTCTTGCCATTGACAATGATTCCTTTGTTGAAATTCATCCCTATTCTTTTTTTGTCAAGGAACGGGGAACGAGGAAGGTACTTCTTCGAGGCAGGGGTAGGAGAGGTCTCTACCCAGTTAGGCACACGGGGACCGACGTCAACAAGCAAGTGCTAAGTGCTACCAAGCTGTCCTCAGATAGGTGGCACCGACGTCTAGGGCATCCTTCTTCTGTTATTGTCAAGAAAGTCATTAGTCAAAATAATCTCCCGTGTGCTAGTCATCTCAATAATAATTTTGTATGTGACGCATGCCAAAAAGGCAAAAGTCACCAACTCCCTTATCCAAATTCAATAAGTGAATCAAAATTCCCTTTAGAACTTGTGTTCTCTGATGTGTGGGGTCCTGCTGTTGAAACAGTAGGAAGAAAGCAATATTATGTTAGCTTTATCAATGATTTCGGCAAGTTTACATGGATCTATTTGATCAAGCATAAGTCTGAAGTTTTTCAGAAATTTCATGACTTTCAGAATCTTGTGGAACGACAATTTGATCGTAAAATCCTTGCTCTCCAAACAGATTGGGGTGGGGAGTACGTTCGGTTAAACTCCTTCTTTACCAAGATAGGTATATCCCATCACGTCTCATGTCCTCACGCTCACCAACAAAATGGTTCAGCTGAGAGAAAACATCGACACATTGTCGAAGTTGGTTTGTCTCTTCTTGCCCAAGCTTCTATGCCTTTGAAATTTTGGGACGAAGCCTTCATTGCTGCCACATACTTGATAAATCGTACTCTTAGCAAGGTCATCAATTTTGAGACACCTTTTGAACGTTTGTTTCATGAAAAACCCAACTATTCCATTCTCAGAATCTTTGGATGTGCTTGCTGGCCAAATCTTCGGCCATACAATAACCACAAACTCCAATTTCGGTCAAAACAATGTGCTTTCCTTGGGTATAGCAACCTTCACAAAGGATATAAATGTCTTGACATCTCCACTGGACGAGTTTACATATCCAGAGACGTAGTTTTTGATGAAAACATCTTTCCCTTCTCTACCTTGCATCCTAATGCCGGCGCTCGTTTACGTGCAGAAATACTTTTGCTATCTCTGGAATTATTAAATCCTAGTGATCAAGGGGGTGAATATTGTGCTAATGATCATCTGTTTAATAATCCTAACCCTCATGGAGACAGCGGTGAAAAAAACGCCGGTGAAAACATCGCTCCAGCCTGTGATTTTATGCAGCAGCAGCAGAAAACTCCTGGCGCCGGACACGAGGCTGATATGCCCTCGGGATCGGGCGCGCGTGCGCTGACTGACGCAGCCACGGGATCCCAGGAAGATCCTCTGGCGGCTCCAGGCTCGCCAAATTCGCCACCCGCCACCTGGTCGGGTGGGGCAGATACAGGCGCCCACCTCGAGGCGGGCCCGCGGACGGACGCTCCCTCGCCTGCACGCGCTTCTTCGCCCGTGGCCGCCAGTTGTCGAGACGGGACAGGCGGTACACCGCCTGACATGCACAAGAGCGGTGCGGGACGAGCTGGCGGGTCGCTTTCGCCGGCCCCACACACGCGGGATTCGAGCCCGGCGGCTGAGGGAGAATCAACCACCCCGATCCGGTCGGCTGCGGTACGAGGAGAAGGATCCTCTGCGGCTGAAGGCGTGTTGCCACGGATAACCACACGCGCTCAGCAAGGTATTTTGAAACCTACAAAATTCAAAGACGGTACAATCAGGTATGAGAAGAATTTTAAGTTTGCAAACTTTGCTTCGTCTGGTGAACCTCAAAGTTTGACAGAGGCACTAAGCAATGAAAATTGGAGAAATGCCATGCACACAGAATATGATGCACTTGTGAAAAATCAAACTTGGCATTTAGTTCCTTCAAAGCAAGGGAGGAATATCATAGACTGTAAGTGGGTGTACAAAATTAAAAAAAGACCTGATGACACTATAGATAGATACAAGGCTAGGTTAATAGCTAAGGGCTTTAAGCAACGTTATGGTATTGACTATGAAGATACTTTTAGTCCTGTAGTTAAAGCTGCTACTATCAGACTTGTTCTGTCTATTGCTGTGTCCAGGGGTTGGAGTCTTCGCCAATTGGATGTACATAATGCGTTTCTACACGGCGTTCTCGAGGAGGAGGTCTATATGAGACAACCACCTGGTTATGAGGACTGTTCAAAACCACATCATGTGTGTAAATTGAATAAGGCCTTGTATGGTCTAAAACAGGCCCCTAGAGCCTGGTATCACAAGTTGAGTACAAAGCTACAACAACTTGGTTTCAAGGCATCTAAAGGAGACATGTCTTTGTTCTTCTTCAAAAGAGGGAAGGTGACCATGTTTATGTTGATTTATGTTGATGATATAATTGTTGCTAGCTCATCACAAGAAGCCACCTCAGCACTGCTAAGAAATCTGAAAGGAGAATTTGCTCTTAAGGACCTAGGAGAGTTGCACTACTTTCTAGGTATTGAAGTAAAAAATGTCATGATGGTATTATGCTAACTCAGGAAAAAAATGCCAGAGACATAGTCAAGCGAGTAGGTATGAGAGACTGTAAACCTTCTAGTACTCCCATGTCTACTACTGACAAGCTGTCCTTGCATGAAGGAGAGTTATTAAGTTCAGAAGAGGGGACTAAATACCGAAGTACAGTAGGAGCATTACAGTATCTAACATTGACAAGACCGGATATATCTTTTGCTGTTAATAAAGTTTGTCAATTTATGCATGCTCCCACTTCTCTGCATTGGACAGCTGTCAAAAGAATCATAAGGTATATTCAAGGAAGTGCTGAAACAGGCCTAAGAATATGCAAGTCTCCCTCAACAGCAGTAAGTGCATTTGCAGATGCAGATTGGGCTGGATGTCCAGATGATAGGAGATCAACTGGAGGTTTTGCAGTTTTTCTTGGGTTAAATCTTGTGTCCTGGAATGCAAAGAAACAAGCCACGGTCTCACGTTCTAGCACTGAAGCAGAATATAAGTCTCTGGCAAATGCAACTGCTGAGGTAACGTGGATTGAAACTTTGCTTGATGAGCTAGGGATTGGAAGAACACACGTATCATGTTTGTGGTGTGATAACCTTGAAGCAACATATCTATCTACGAATCCTGTGTTTCATGCAAGGACAAAACACATAGAGATTGATTATCATTTTGTTCGAGAAAGAGTTGCACAAAAATTGTTGGATGTTCAGTTTGTTCCAACAGAAGATCAAGTTGCAGATGGATTCACTAAACCTCTTCAAGTCAGACAACTACAAGCCTTCAAGCGTAATCTAAACCTTGATATGTTAAGATTAAGGGAGGATGTTAAAGTATAGGCTGTAGTTGTAGAAACGTGACATGTTGTCATGTATGTATTTGCGTGTGCGTGTGTATTGTAACTAGCGCAGGTTGTTAGTATAGATCAAGCCTTATCCGGTATAGCTTGGAGTAGGGGCAAAGACTTGCAACAACCTGCGCCGATGTAATCTTCTCTGTGTATTTAACACGCACGCGTCCTCTTCTTCTTCTTTCAATCTGAAGACGGAAACCCAGTTCTAGGCAGAGCCGTGCGTTTCCAGTAGTCATCGGCAAGGGAAGGTTGCGGTGCGTGTAGTTTACCTATCTGCTGCCTGTAATTCGCTGTTTGGAGATAGACAAAAATTAAGTGAAGAAAAGTTTCCGCCACACTTTTGTTACTCCTGTATTTCTTCCTCTGCATATCTTCTCTCACGCCACCGCAACTCGCCAGAGGCAACAGGGGCACTACAATCACAGTCCTTTCAGATGCTAACGTATTATGCTCCAGTTTTTTTTTTACTGAATCCATAATGACCCTCTGCTTAATATTGGTCCGTTCGTTGAGAACTAAAAACGATATATCATTCTCACATTTCCCAGAAACCCCACGAAATGGCTGCACAAGAGCTCAAAACAGCAGGCCTGGTGCTACTAAGCAGAAAAAAGCTAGAGGTTCAAAATTATGACAGCCTGATTCAACAGAACTCATTCACTTTATTCCAAATAGCCTTAGCTACAAAACAATCAAAAAGTAAATGTTGGACACTTCATCTGAAACCAGTAGGTTTCAATGCCACGAAACTTGAATAACGCCATGCATATCAAGTTACTAGCAAGTATACTTTTACAACAAACTGATCAAGGAAGGGAAGTACTGTATTACACATGACTATTGCGCACACCATTACTTCAGCACCACACGACACACTTTATCATTCAGAGACGTTGGCCTGGAAGCGCTTCATGCAGCTATACATCTTCTTGGTCACCTTCGCTTGCATGTTGTCCACATACTGATATAATGAATACCTCCATGTCTCGCTGCGAAACAAGAAGGTGCCCCAGTATAGCCAGAACCCAGAGATAAACCCAGCAGCCACAAAGCAGTAAAACCACAGTGTCTCTCTATCTTCATCCAGGCTTGTTTCAGTTTGTGTCGGTGTTGACGAGCTTACGCAGTCTTCCAACGGAAACCCGCATAACCCAAGATTATTGCTGTATATTGACGGGTCATCGAGTGTCCGCAGCTGATCACCCGTAGGTATCCTCCCCGATAAACTGTTGCTCGAGAGGTTCAGAACGGTAATGCTCTTCAAATCTGTAAAGCTTGGAGGCATTTCCCCTGATAGTTGGCTCCGAGAAAGGTCCAAGGATTCCAGCAGTACTAGATTGCCAATGTCTTCGGGGATAAAACCTGACAGATGATTTCCTGATAAGTTCAGGTATCTGATTGCAAGAAGGGTTGTGAGCCCATTTGGAATCTCCTGTGACAAAGAGTTTCCAGACAAGTCGATACCGGCCATGCCTGCTATCACCACAATGTAAAGTTGATCTACATTCTTCCAAACTATTTGAATTTCCGGTGCATGCGTGGTGTAGCCATCATATATATAGTCAATGTCTTCCTGTTCATGCACCATGCCAGTAAAATTCCTAAAATCATCTGGAATGGGTCCGGTGAGCTTGTTTTTTGACAAGTCCAACACCTGGAGTTTTCGAAATTGTAATATCTGGTGGGGTATGATGCCGTCAAACATATTTGATGACAATCGAAGAAAGTTGAGTTCAGGCAAGCTCCTGCTTGCCCAAGAAGGTATTGTACCAGAGAAATTATTGCCTCCAAGATCTAGAGTAATAAGGTGTTTGCATTTCTTAAGACCCAGAGGAAAGCTTCCTCTGAATTGGTTATTGCCTAGGAGAAGATATTTAAGATTATCTTGGCATTTCCTCGAGAACGGAACTATACCACTGAAAGAGTTGCTTGACAGATCTATGAATTGCAAACTTGACAGGTCCCAGAAACACTTGGGGAGACCTCCATGTAAGGCATTGCTCGATAAGTCTAGGAGGTTTAAATCAGTACAGTTACAAAGGAACGACTCACCCCGACCTGTCAGAAGCGTGCCGTGCAGCTGGTTATGACGGAACGCCATGGTGCTCAGCCCTCCTGGATGCTCACTAAAACAGTCCCTTAGCTCTGCAACAATGTTGTTTGCTGTGAAGTCAACATATTGCAAGGTTGTGCAGTTCTGAAAGGTCTGATGGTGAATGCTCGTAAATCCATTGTATTCAGCACTAACAGTTTTCAGGGCTCCTCCTACACAAATCGATGATGGGAACAACCCGGAGAAGTTGTTATTTGCAATCCCTATGCTTTCCAGCTGGCTGCTATTCCCAAGCTCGGGAACGATGTGCCCTTCGAGCTGGTTTTCTAACAGATCTAACACCTGGAGTTTTCTCAAATGAGAGATGGTACCTGGTAGCTGCCCACCCAAACAGTTATACATAATATTCACGAACTGTAGTTCTGTCATGTTTCCAATCTCCATCGGGATGGTCCCTGTAAGCTTGCTATGTACCAGACTCAGCACACGGAGCTTCCTGAGCATGCCAATTGTTGGTGGGATTGGTCCAGTCAAACTAAGGGCACTGAGATGGAGCTCCTTCAAGTTCGTCAGGTTACCGATCTCTTCAGGTAGCGTGCCATCAAGCCCCAAATCTACCATGTACAGTTCGGCAAGGTGCTTCAGCTGCCCAATACTGCGTGGAATGCGACCCCTCAAATTGGTCTTGCCGATGTCCAACTTGACCAAGCTCGTCAGGTTGCCAATCCCTGCTGGAATGGTGCCGTGTAGATCACTGTTGATCAGTAGGAGTTCCTTCAGGTGGGGAAAGGCCGAAAAGTCGAACTCGTCAAGTGTGCCATTCAAACTTGCGAGCGAAATGTCGAGCCTTCTGACGTGCCTGGCCGAGTCGCAAGTGATGCATGTCCAATTGCAAAGTCTGGTGGAGTTGGCCAATGACCATGACCCAAGGTCATCGGCACCGGCCAAGCTAGCCTTCCACTTCACAAGTGCTTCGGCTTCACGCCGGATGTCGGCTCTCACCGGCGCGGCGGCGTGTAATAGGAGATAAGTGTAAGGGAGTAGGAGAAAGCATGCAGAATGGAGACGCTTCATGATGGCTTGGTACGAGTGGTGCTTCACTGCTAGAGAGGATATAAAACCTCCAGATGAGCCAGCCGGCTGATCGGCCGGCCGTTCGTCTGTCCAGTACAGGGTGGCCTGGTGGACCTCACGATTTACAAATGGCACATTTCTAGCGAGTGGCGTACTGTTAGTTTAGATTAAGGGCAAACGACATGCTAGTTTATTATAGAAGGCTGCCCATAATAAGACTAGAAAATTACAAATGGTATGGTGTATGCATATGTCATTATCAGGTTGACACTTGGAAGTCATGGTACACATATGCTTAACTTGAAATGAAATTTGAAATAACTGTTTAACCCTGGTACTGGACCATACCACCCGATATTTTGTTGGTACTCAATATATATGCTGAAGACGATACCCTACCGGTCTGACATTAAGGAATAGAACCTTGAACCTGCCTCCTAGAGCAGTAATTCAGGCTTCAATGGCAGTTGCGTGCACCCCACGGTAAAGAGGCACATAAAAAGAGAAACGTAACCAAAAAAATAAATCCAGAATATACTTGCCAAACGTAAATGGTCTCACCAAATGAAGGTTGGCGTCAAATTAAACGGGCACAGATTTAGTTTCTTAACTTACTCACCTCCTTTTCCCTCCAAATTGCAGAAACTCCCTTCCGGTACTCTTGGCCAGCCTGCCTTCTCTTCAGCAACCAAAGGCCTCCTGCTCAGCAGCCAGAACCAACTAGCCCCTTGTCTGCCTGCCTGCCTGCACCCATGGAATCCCCAGGCTAAGCAGACTAGATTGGTACTCGGGGGCACCGGGAGATACTCACAGTGCAACCAAAGTGTCCGCACTGGTGCCGCGTGGCTCCGTGTCAGCACCAATCGAGACATGGAGGCAGTCTAGGAAATGGTATGCAGGCAATTTCGGATGGTATCCTTTTTAGATTGGGAATGGCGCGGGGGAGACTTTTTCTCAGAGGGGTGGAAGGATTAGATCAGTGTGTAGGCTGGAGTCAGTGTGCAGAGATGGGAATCTACTGAGCAGCATGTTTGTTTTTCCAATATCATAGCAAATCCTGTAACCACCCTGCTGCACACGGATGATATTCATTCAGAAACAGAGGAGGAAACCGAATCTGACAGAGATGCAATCTGAAGATGAGGGACGCAGTGCTAGGCAGGGCCATGCGATTTTGATAGTCTGTAAGTGGGCCCAGTCAGGCTGTGGGCGACTTCCAGATGCTATCTTCACCGCTTACAGCTCTCACCGACTTCCAGCTGTAATGACCCGGAAGCAACGGGTCATTACAAATTTACAATCATAGTGCTTTCCAGATGCTATCTTCACCGCTGCTTCTCCCGGACAAGTAATCAGAATCGAGAAAACTCACAACCCACCGGTGTAGCAAATGCCTTCATCTCGAGGAACGTTGACAGTGCACGACGCTTTGGTTGATCAGATTGATGGGCAGCCAGCAAATTTGACACATTGTGCTTCAATCTTTTTTAGCCAAATTCATAATGACCCTCTACTTAATAATTCCTAAATTTATCACGTCTACTGTTACTAACCAAAAAACAAGCTACAGATCCAGAATCATGACAAACTGATTCAAGAGAACTCACCACTTCACTCCAAACAGCCGAAGTTACCAGAGTCAGAAACTAAAAGTTGCGACAGTTCATCTGAAATAAGTAGGTTTCAGCGCCACAAAACTTGAATAACACCATGCACATCAAAGTGCTAGCAGATACTGTTACAACCAACTAACAAAGGAAGGGAAATATTACAGACATGATCTGCGCACACCATTACTTCAACACCATGCGACGCACTTCATCATTCAGAGCCGCTGGCCTGGAAACGCGACATGCAGCTGTACATCTTCTTGGTTACCTTTGCTTGCATGTTGTCCACATACTGGTAGAACGCAAACCTCCATGTCTCGCTGCTAAACAAGAAGATGCCCCAGTACAACCAGAACCCACAAATGAACCCAGCAGCCACAAAGCAATAAAACCAGAGTGTCTCTCTATCTTCCGCCTGACTCGTTTCAGTTTGTGTCAGTGTCGATGAGTTTACACAGTCCTTCAACGGGAATCCACATAGCCCTGGATTACTTCTGTATATCGATGGATCTACAAGCGTCTGCAGCTGGCTGCCTGTAGGTATCCTCCCTGATAAACCGTTGCTCGAGAGGTTCAGAGAACTCATGTCCTTCAAACCTGCAAGGCCTATAGGAATTTCCCCCGAAAGCTTATTCCGTGAAAGGTCCAAGGATTCCAACAATACTAGATTGCCAATGTCTTCAGGAATAGAACCTGATAAATGATTTCCTGATAAGTTCAGGTACCTGAGGCCAAGAAGGCTTGTGAGCCCATTTGGGATCTCTAGTGTAAGAGAGTTTCCAGATAAGTCGATACCCGCCATCGCTGCTATCATAATATTGTAAACATGATCCACATTCTTCCAAACAATTTCAATCCGCTCTGCATACATGTAGTGGTCAGAGTATGCGTTCTCAATGTTTTTCGGTTCTTGTGTCATGCCAGTAAAATTCGTAAAATCACTTGGAATGGGCCCGGTGAGCTTGTTTTTTGACAAGTCCAATACCTGGAGTTGGCAAAATTGCAATATCTGGTGGGGTATAACACCATCAAACATGTTTGATGTTAACCTAAGAAACTTGAGCCCAGGGAAGCTCTTGCTTACCCAAGAAGGTATTGGACCTGAGAAATTATTGCCACCAAGATCTAGAGTGATAAGGGTTTTGCATTTCAAAAGAAACAAAGGAAAGGTTCCCTCGAAGTGATTATTTGCTAGGTGCAGATAGTTAAGACTATCACATGTCCAGGAGAATGGAACTACACCGCTGAAAGAGTTGCTTGACAGATCCATGAATGCCAAATATGGCATGTCCCAAGAAGACTTGGAGAGATCTCCATCTAAGGCATTGTTTGATAGGTCCAGGAAGAATAAATAGGTGTAGTTACTAACAAATACCTCGCCAAGATCTGTCAGAAATGTGCCATACAGGTGGTTTTGTCTGAATGACATCTTCCGAAGATACCCTGGATGCTCGGCAAAACAGTCCCTTAGGTTCGCAACAATGTTGTTTGCAGTGAAGTCAACATATTGCAGGGTTGTGCAGTTTTGAAAGGTCCGGTGGTGAATGCCAGTAAAACCATTATATTGAGCACTGATACTGTGCAGTGCTCCTCCTACGCAAATGGATGACGGGAAAACCCCGGAGAAGTTGTTCCTTCCAAAGTCGACCGTATCCAGTAGACTGCTATTCCCAAGCTCGGCCGCAATATGGCCTCCGAGCCGGTTTTGTGATAGATAGAGAATTTTCAGTTTTGTCAAATGATAGATGGTACCTGGTAGTTCCCCTTCCAAAAAGTTATTTGAAAAGAGAAACGCCTGCAGTTCCGTCATGTTTCCAATCTCAGGTGGGATGTTCCCTGTCAGATTGTTGCCTGGCAGGCTCAGCACGCGGAGCTTCGTGAGCATGCCAATTGTTGGTGGGATTGATCCAGTCAAAGTATCAGAGTTCAGATAGAGCTCCTTCAAGCTTGTCAAGTTACCAATCTCTTCTGGTATAGTGCCATTAAGCCCCAGACCTGATAGTTGCAGTGAAGCAAGGTGCTTCAGCCGGCCGATGCTGTGTGGCATGGCACCCCTCATATACGGGTTGTCCATGATCGTCAACTCGACCAAGCTTGTCAGATTGGCAATCCCTGCTGGAATTGTACCGTAGAGGCCGCTCTGGTACATAATGAGTCTCTTCAGGTGGGGAAAGGCCGAGAAGTCGAACTCATCAAGTGTGCCGTTCAGATTTGCATCATTGAGGTCGAGCTCCCTGATGTGCCTGGCCGAGTTGCAGCTGATATACTTCCATCTGCAGATGCTGGTGGAGTTGGCTGATGACCATGATTCAAGGAACTCATTGGCACCGCCCAAGCTAGCCTTCCAATTCACAAGTGCAACCATGCGACACACTTCATCATTCAGAGCCGCTGGTATGGAAACGCGACATGCAGCTGTACATCTTCTTGGTTACCTTTGCTTGCATGTTGTCCACATACTGGTAGAACGCAAACCTCCATGTCTCGCTGCTAAACAAGAAGATGCCCAAGTGCAACCAGAACCCACAAATGAACCCAGCAGCCATAAAGCAATAAAACCAGAGTGCCTCTCTATCTTCCGCCTGACTCGTTTCAGTTTCTGTCGGTGTCGATGAGTTTACACAGTCCTTCAATGGGAATCCACATAGCCCTGGATTACTTCCGTATATCGACGGATCTACAAGCGTCTGCAGCTGGCTGCCTGTAGGTATCCTCCCTGATAAACCGTTGCTCGAGAGGTTCAGAGAACTCATGCCCTTCAAACCTGCAAGGCCTATAGGAATTTCCCCCGAAAGCTTATTCCGTGAAAGGTCCAAGGATTCCAACAATACTAGATTGCCAATATCTTCAGGAATAGAAGCTGATAAATGATTTCCTGATAAGTTCAGGTACCTGAGACCAAGAACGGTTGTGAGCCCATCTCGGATCTCTAGTGAAAGGGAGTTTCCAGATAAGTCGATACCCGCCATGGCTGCTATCATCAGATTGTAGACATGATCCACATTCTTCCAAACAATTTCAATCCGCTCTGCATACATGTAGTGGTCAGCGTATGCGTTCTCAATGTTTTTCGGTTTCTGTGTCATGCCAGTAAAATTCATAAAATCACTTGGAATGGGCCCGACGAGCTTGTTTTTTGACAAGTCCAATACCTGGAGCTGGCGAAATTGTAATATCTGGTGGGGTATAACAACATCAAACATGTTAACCGAAGAAACTTGAGTCCAGGGAAGCTCTTGCTTACCCAAGAAGGTATTAGACCTGAGAAATTATTGCCACCAAGATCTAGAGTGATAAGGTTTTTGCATTTCAAAAGAAACAAAGGAAAGGTTCCTTCAAAATGATTATTTGCTAGGTGCAGATAGTTAAGACTATCATATGTCCAGGAGAATGGAACTACACCGCTGTAAGAGTTGCTTGACAGATCCATGAATGCCAAATATGGCATGTCCCAAGAAGACTTAGAGAGATCTCCATATAAGGCATTGTTTGATAGGTCCTGGAAGAATAAATAGGTGTAGTTACTAACAAATATACCTCGCCAAGATCTGTCAGAAATGTGCCATACAGGTGGTTTTGTCTGAAAGATATCTTCTGAAGATCTCCTGGATGCTCGGTAAAACAGTCCCTTAGGTTCGCAACAATGATGTTTGCAGTGAAGTCAACATATTGCAGGGTTGTGCAGTTTTGAAAGGTCTGGTGGTGAATGCCAGTAAAACCATTATACTGAGCACTGATACTGCACAGTGCTCCTCCTATGCAAATGGATGACGGGAAAACCCCGGAGAAGTTGTTCCTTCCAAAGTCGACTGTATCCAGTAGGCTGTTATTCCCAAGCTCGGCCGCAATATGGCCTCCGAGCCGGTTTTGCGATAGATAGAGATTTTTCAGTTTTGCCAAATGATAGACGGTACCTGGTAGCTCTCCTTCCAAACAGTTATCTGAAATGAACAACGCCTGGAGTTCCGTCATGTTTCCAATATCAGGTGGGATGCTCCCTGTCAGATTGTTGTCTTCCAGGCTCAGTGTGTCGAGCTTCTTAAGCGTCCCAATTTTTTGTGGGATTGATCCAGTCAAGGCACCCGAGTTGAGATAGAGCCCCTTCAAACTCGTCAAGTTACCTATCTCTTCAGGTATTGTTCCTTCGAGCCCCAAATGTGCTAATTCCAGTACAGCAAGGTGCTTCAGCTGGCCAATGTTGTGCGGTATTGTGCCACTGAGCACCAGGAGGGCTAATTCCAGTACAGCAAGGTGCTTCAGCTGGCCAATGCTGCGCGGAATGGCACCCCCCAAATACGGGTTGCCGATGATCTGCAACACGACCAACCTCGTCAGGTTGGCAATCCCGGCTGGAATTGTACCGTAGAGGCAGCTCTGGTACATAATGAGTCTCTGCAGGTGGGGAAAGGCCGAGAAGTCGAACTCATCAAGTGTGCCGTTCAGATTTGCATCGCTGAGGTCGAGCTCCCTGATGTGCCTGGTCGAGTTGCAGCTGATATACTTCCATCTGCAGATGCTGGTGGAGTTGGCTGACGACCATGATTCAAGGAACTCATTGGCACCGCCCAAGCTAGCCATCCAATTCAGAAGTGGTTCAGCTTCACGCCGGGTGTTGGCTCTCACCGGCGTAAAGGCACCTAGCAGAAGACAGGTACTCCCTCTGTGTACTAACTTTAGTATAAAGTTGGGTCATCTATTTTGAAACGGAGGGAGTACATGAGAGTAGGAGGACTACAGGATGGAGGTGCTTCATGGTATGGGTGATGCTTCAATGCTCCAGAGGATATAAAACCTCTAGCCGGCCGGCCATTACAGTGGTAATCTTTTATCAAAAAATAATAATACAGTACCTCATGAGGCCTTGCGGTTTAAAATGGTCCCATTGTTAGTGAATGATGTGCTGTTAGTGTTAGTTTAGATTAAGAAGAAGCTACATGCTACAGTCCATAATCATGACCGGCGTAATGACATGCTGTATGGGCAAGCTACATGCTAGTTTATTATAGTCGGCTGCCCATAATCAGACTAAGAATTTACAAATGGCATGATGTAGGCACATGTCATAATCAGGGTGACACTTGGACGCCATGGCACACAGATGCTTAATCAACTCTGATACTGGAATACTGATATCCAATATGCTGATTGCTGAAGACAATAACCTACCAATCTGACATTCAGGATTTAGAACCTTGCTCCTAGACTTGCCAAACATAATTGGTATCAGGAAATGAAGGTTGAGGCCGAACTAAACCGGCACAGATTTGTGTCTTCGCTTACTCACCTCGTTTTCCCTCCGAAACTCGGAAGCTCCCTTCCGGTACTCTTGGCCAGCCCTTCCACATTGCTCCTCCACGTCAGCGAGACAAAGGCCTCCAGCTTGGCAGTTGGCACCAACGTTAACTAGCCCCCTGCCTGCCTGCACCGACCGAATCCCGGGAGGCCTGCCTGCCTCCTGTAGTTTGTAAAATGTACTGCACATTCAGTTAATTTTTGCTCCTCCACCACATGCTCCGTCTCACCCCAAAAGAAAAAAACATGTGCTGACGTGCATCATCATCGGACGCACGCACACACTCATACAGCATCTAATGAAGATTCGAGTCATAGAATTTAATCACCCATCTGACATTCCAAAATAGGTTTCTCTTCTGAATGTACAGTACATTTTACAATAATACATGTTTATTTATTACTGAACATTAGGTGGTTTTGTATTTTCAAGATACCCAAGGTGGTTCTCAGGTGTAGAAATGTAACAACTTGGAATCTTTCACAGGAAGAAAAGAAATGAAGAGACATAACCATGTACCCATGTATCAAGTAATGTACCAGATCTTGTTACAAACTACAGTAAGACTATTTCACAAAAAGAAAAGAAAAACTAAGACTAAGGGCGTCATTCATATACCTGGTTGTTCCCCGCAAAAAAATGTGCCTGGTTGTTGTTTCATCATCACGGCAAGTCACTGTAACCACCACCCTGCTGCATATGGATGATACTCATTCTGAAACAGAGGAGGAAAACAGATTCTCAGTCACAGAGATAAAATCTGAAGATGGAGACCCAGTTCTAGGCAGAGCCGTGTGTTTCGAGTAGTCATCAGCAAGGGAAGGTTGCGGTGCGTGCAGGTTACCTATCTGCTGCCTGTAAGTCGCTGTTTGGAGACAGACAAAAATTAACTGAAGAAAAGTTTCCGCCACACTTTTGTTACTCCTGTATTTCTTCCTCTGCATAATATTGGTCCATTCGTTGAGAACTAAAAACGATATTATCATTCTCACATTTCTCAGAAACCCCACGAAATGGCTGCACAAGAGCTCAAAACAGCAGGTCTGGTGCTGCTAACCAGAAAAAAACAAGCTACAGGTTCAAAATTATGGCAAAACTCATTCACTTTATTCCAAATAGCCTTAGCTACAAAACAATCAAAAAGTAAATGTTGGGCACTTCATCTGAAACCAGTAGGTTTCAATGCCACGAAACTTGAATAACGCCATGCATATCAAGTTACTAGCAAGTATACTTCTACAACAAACTGATCCAGGAAGGGAAGTATTACACATGACTAATGTGCACACCGTTACTTCAGCACCACACGACACACTTCATCATTCAGAACCGTTGGCCTGGAAGCGCTTCATGCAGCTACACATCTTCTTGATCACCTTCGCTTGCATGTTGTCCACATACTGATAGAATGAATACCTCCATGTCTCGCTGCGAAACAAGAATATAACCCAGTAGAGCCAGAACCCAAAGATGAACCCAGCAGCCACGGAGCAATACAACCACAATGCCTCTCTATCTTCATCCAGGCTTTTTTCAGTTTGCGTCGGTGTCGACGAGTTTTTGCAGTCTTCTAACGGAAACCCGCATAGCCCAGGATTATTGCTGTATATTGACGGGTCATCAAGTGTCCGCAGCTGATCGCCTGTAGGTATCCTCCCTGATAAACCGTTGGTTGAGAGGTTCAGAGTGCTTATGCTCTTCAGACCCGCAAAGCTTGGAGGAATTTCCCCCCAGAGTTGGTTCCGGGAAAGGTCCAAGGATTCCAGCAGTACAATGTTGCCAATGTCTTCAGGAATACAGCCTGACAGATGATTTCCTGATAAGTTCAGATATCTCAGTCCAAGAAGATCCGTGAGCCCATTTGGGATTTCTTGTGAAAGAGAGTTACCAGATAAGTCGATACCTGCCATGGCAGCTATCATCAGATGGTAAACATAATCCACATTCTTCCAAATTATTTGAATCCGCACTTGATAAACATATCGGTCAGGGTATATGAAGTCAATGTTCTCTTCTGCCATGCCAGTAAAATTCCTAAAATCATCCGGAACAGGTCCGGTGAGCCTGTTTTTGGACAAGTCTAATACTTGGAGCTGGCGAAATTGTAAGATCTCATGGGGTATGATGCCGCCAAACATGTTTGATGACAGCCGAAGAAAGTTGAGTTTAGGAAAACTCATGCTTATCCAAGAAGGTATTGTACCAGAAAAATTATTGCCTCCAAGATCTAGAGTGTTAAGGTTTTTGCATTCCTTCAGACCCAGAGGAAAGGTTCCTCTGAAATGGTTATCAGCTAGGAGTAGATGCTTAAGATCATCTTGACATGTCCTTGTAAACGGAACTACACCACTGAAAGAGTTGCTGGACGGATCCATGAATTGCAAGCTTGGCAAGTCCCAGAAACACTTGGAAAAACCTCCATGTAAGGCATTGCTTGATAGGTCTAGGAGTTTTAAATTAGTATAGTTACAAAAGAATTCCTCACCTCGACCTGTCAGAAGCGTGCCGTACAGCTGGTTCTGACTGAAAACCACGGTGGTCAGCTCTCCTGGATGCTCACTAAAACAGTCCCTTAGCTCTGCAACAATGTTGTTTGCTGTGAATTCAACATATTGCAAGGTTGTGCAGTTTTGAAAGGTCCGGCGCTGGATGCTGGTAAATCCATTGTATCCAGCTTTGAGAAAAATCAGTGACCCTCCTAAGCAAATGGATAACGGGAACATCCCAGAGAAGTTGTTATGTGAAATGTCGACCGCCTCCAAGATGCTGCTATTCCCAAGCTCAGCAACAATGTGGTCTCGGAGCTGATTTCCTGACAGTTCCAAATCCTGAAGTTTTATCAAATGAGCAATTGTGCCTGGTAGCTGTCCTTCCAAACAGTTATTCCGAGAGTACATGGTCAGCAGTTCTGTCATGTTTCCAATCTCCAATGGGATGCACCCTGTCAGATTGTTGTTTCCCAGGTTCAGCAAGCGGAGCTTCGTGAGCATCCCAATTGTTGATGGGATCGATCCAGTCAAAGTATTGGAGTTGAGATTGAGCACATCCAAGCTTGTCAAGTTACCAATCTCTTCAGGTAGAGTGCCACCAAGGCCCAAACCTATCATTTCCAGGAAAGAAAGATGCTTGAGCTGGCCAATGCTGCGTGGAATGGCGCCCCTCAAATACGGGTTATAGCTGATGGCTAACTCGACCAAGCTCGTCAGGTTGCCAATCCCTGCTGGAATCTTACCATATAGATCATTGTGGGAAAAGGTGAGTCTCTTCAGCTGGGGAAAGGCCGAGAAATCCAACTCGTCAAGTGTACCGTTCAGACCTGCTCTGTCAAGGTCAAGCTCTGTGATGTGCCCGGCGGGGTCGCAGATGATGTGCGTCCACTTGCAAAGGCTTGTGGAGTTTTCCAATGACCGTGGCCCAAGGGACTCATCAGCACCATCCAAGCTAGCTTTCCACTTCACAAGTGCTTCAGCTTCACGCCGGATGCTGGCTACCACCGGCATGATTGCACATAGTAGGAGACAAGAGCAGTAGAGTAGGAGAAGTCCTAGAGGATGGAGGTGTTTCATGATGGCTTCAGTATGGGTGGTGCTTCACTGCTCGAGGGAGCATTAAACCTCCGGATGAGCCAGCCAGCCAGCCGACCGGACGATCATTACAATGGTGGTCTGGTGGACCTGGTGTTTTACAAATGGCACATTCTCAGTAAATGACGTACTGTCAGCTTAAATGAAGAAGCAGCTACATGCTAGTATTTTATAGTCCCCATGAGAATAAGATATTGCAAATCCATGATGTATGCACGTGTCATTATCAGGGTGACACTTGGAAGTCATGGCACACAGTATGCTTAACTCGAAATTAACAAATATTTTTCAACTCTGATAGTTGAATGTATCGCCCCCAATATGTTGGTTGATAACTAATATGCTCTTTGTCACACAAAAAAAACTAATTTGCTGAAGACAAAAACCATAACCTACAAGTCTGATATTCATGATTTAGAACCTTGATCCTGGCCTCCTAGAGCAGCAATTCAGGCTTCATTCACAGTTGATTGTGCCCACAGAAGGAAGGACAAAAAGGTGAAAATTGCTAAATAAGGAAAAAAAATCATTTCCGACTAAACTTACAAAAAATAATTAATATTGCAAAATGATTTTTTTGTTGAGGTCAAAGAAACTGGCATATTTTACTCTAGAGAGTTTGTTCTAATCAGCCACTCTGGAGAGCAAATACAACAACAGCAATGTGGGTACTGTCATTAGAGAACCCAAATGACATGTTGAGAAACATCATGGGTACTGTCCTTCAAATGTTTCATAGATAATGTCACTAAAAGGGCATTTACATTAAAAGAATATTTGGTTCATGATAGTATGATACAGTATTGATCCTGGATAATAGTAGAAACAACAAATTCGCCTGTTGATCATGATCTATAAAATATTGAAGTGGATGCCAGTGCTGACTTATAATTGGGGGGACAAGTAAGCAGAAGCAGTGATTTATTTGCATGCAATATTGGTTCCCCTGGCTTCTCAGGTATTCCTCAGAGTGTTTAAACAGGATCACTAACCTTAGCGGACTTGCCAATCGCCCAACCAAAACATGGTTATCTTGAAAGGGAAACAACCCATCAACTCCTGTAACATGCTGAGAAGCTTATCTTCTAGTATGCTGTTCAGGCCCAGGAAATTATGTTCTCTTCTTGTATGAGCGTTTTTTAATCATTTCGCAAATGCCTTGTCTTATCAGGTCCACGATTCAATTGAACGCTAGGAGTCGAGGGGTATGCAGCTTTTGGGAGATGCCATACTATGGTCTTTCCTATGTTGACTCTCCATGCAGTTATAATACCTAGACTCCAGAGATATGAAAAATTGCAGTAAGATAGCTCCTTGATGAGACTATTCATCTCTACCTTCTGGTTATCTTTCCTGTCTAATGTCCAAATGCCATAACTCTCGATTTAGTTGATCCCAGAAAGCTACAATATGTTGATACTAGACATAAGAACGAGAATATTAAGGTAGCTCCCCTGCAAAAATTATTCAGCCCTCCTAATTTTGTATGGGTCATTCTTTATCAACCAGATCTTAGTGCCAATTGGTCTGAGAGATTTAGAAAAATGCTATACAAGCCATGATTCTGCATGTTGCAATAACTTCCAAAACAGGAAACCTTCAAACCTGGTAAAGGAAGACAAATAAATTAGAGTCTAAACAAACAAGCAAAACATTCACGAAACACTGTACTGTCAAACAATACAATATGTCACATAAATGAATAAACAAGTGTAATTGCATCTGAAGTACTACTGGCCAATGGACAGAACTGATACAACATTGCAACCAACTTAGATTATATATCAAAAAAATATACAGATTTAATAAAATACGAGAAAAAGATGGATTCTTGCTGATGGAGGTTATGACTCATCAGATCTTGAACTATTGCAAATATGTCTGAAGCTCGGTATTCCTTAAAAATTTGATAATTTACGAGGAACCATAGGAGAAACACCCAAGAAGACCCTAACCTTTTAGTATCTTGCTTACTAGGAGTCCAAGCAAGTGAAAATTAGGGATGCAAGGGGGCAACTCAGAGAGCCCACATGTAAGTATATCTAAAGTCAACCTTATGTTAATTTCAAATGGGGAATTGCACTAAGTAGACTTTAAGTATATTTATATCTTATATGCGGGCTTGGCGGGTTGCCCGATTGCATCCTTGACAAACAAAGTAAATATAGATCATGTAGGAGGACGAACAAACCAGTGAATCACATAACTGCTCACAGATACCATGAGGCCAACACAACAACTAATGACATATTAACAATGTAAGAAGTGATTCAACAGCATACGTAATACTAATCTTGGAATTAAAGGGCATCGCCAAAACAATACCTCATTTCAAGTCTTGGAACTTTGCAACTTCTGTCATGCAATTATGAAACCGATGGTCTCATGTATCCCATGTTTTACTGTATGTTGCAAAAGTCTGCACATGAATTCCAAGCACCAACTCTGACATCTTGCAGTTTGATGCTTCCATATGCCAAAAATGTTTGGAGCATACACATGCCTAGAGGAGTTCACTTGTTATTGCAAAGATCTCCGCACATGTAAGCTATCGAGAAGCCTGTTGTAAGCCACAATGTTAGGTATAAACCCTAAATCAAGCATTTCATCCAGCACAGCCTCGCCTTCCATCACCCTTCCCTGCCTACCAAACCCCTGCACCAGCATGCTATAAGTCACACCATCAGCCTGAAAACCCTTCTCCTTAGCCAGAATCCTCAGCTTGTTTGCATCAGAAGTCCGCCCAGCTTCACAAAGTGCCTCGAAGATACAGTTACAAGAAATGGCATCTGGGACAATCCCCTCCCCAACCATCCTTCCCATCAACCGGCACACCAAATCCAGCTTCCCTGCCTTCGTCAAGCACTCCAAAACCGTTACGCCGGCAGGGACACTCAAGCAACATGCCCTGTTCCTCTCCAATACCAACTCTACTATTTCTACTGTTTTGTCCACCCTTCCAACATGGCATAGGGATTCAACAAGATCCAGGCAATCAAACCCTTCCGGCACCACCGCATCGACCAAAAACTCGGCAAACAACTCTGCCGCCTTCAAAGACTCGCCTCCACGGCACAACCCACCGATCAAAATCTCCATGGAAGCAACCGACAGCCCGACCCCAAGTTGCAGCATCTCGTGAGCAACCTTAAGGCCTTCTTTGTACCTGCTTCTCTGAAGAACCCACGCATAAGAGTGTTGAAGCTCACACCAGTCGGCGCACAGCTCCGGCGCCGCATCTCCTCAAACCACCGCATGGCGGCATCGACGCCTTCGACGCGACAGGAACTGTTGATGAGTATGTTGAAGGTGTAGGCATCCGGTGAGACGCGGTGGACGCTGGTCATCTCGCCATAGAAGCGGATGGCGTCGTCATGGCGGTGGAGACGGGCCAGGGCGTGGAGGATGATGTTGTAGAACTCGGCGGGGAGGGGCGTGTCCGCGGCGCGGCGGAGGGACGCGAGGGCCTCAGACGCCGCGGGGATGTCGCCGGAGGCGGCGAAGGCGAGGATGGCCTTGCGGAAGGTCGGGAGGAGGTCGGGGCAGGCGAAGATGGAGTCGTCGGCGCAGGGGCAGGGGCGGGAGAGGACGAGCTGGAGGAGGCGCTGCAGAGAGGGGAGGCGGCGGGAGGCCGCGAGGCGCGCGGCGAGGAGGCTCGTAAGGCGGTGGTCGGGGCGGAAGGCCGAGGAGGCGTCGGCGGCCGCGAGGAGAAGGTGGAGGTCGAGCGGCGCGAGGCGCGGGTGGTGCCTCGCGCGGCGAAGGAGGCGGAGGAGCGCTTCCGGGGAGGAGGCGTGCGCGGAGGGGAGAGCCGGGAGGGGGCTCGGCGGCGAGAGGTGGGACACGGCGAGCGGGAGGAGCGGCAAGGAGGGGTCGAGGGGGATCGAGGCGAGTGAGGTGGAGATTTCGGGGGTCTCCTCCAGGGTTTCGATCCCCGGCGAGATGAGGCGCTGGTGCTTGGAGATGATGGAGGGGAGCTTCCGCGCCAGGCGGCGCGAGGCGGCCATCGACGGTCGCCGGAGGGAGAAAGGGGAGGGAATCAGAAAGTGTGTGGCCGGGGCATGGGCTTAGCCCACACGCATGGGGCATGGGCTACATGATAATTTACTGGCGAAGCCCATATTACAGTGCGAATACTATTCAAAGTTTCCCTCCGAAAAATACATTTTTCATTTCAAAATTTCCATTGTGAGCTGTTCTAAAAATCCACTACTTCAAAATTTCCAGGTTTCCTAAAAAAGTTGCAGGTTTATTTACATTTTTTTGTACTTTGGATGATCTCACATTTCACAAAGGCCATCCTAAATTTCAAGGTGGGTCTTAGATGCAGAACTTCACGAAATTGGAATCTTCCATGGCAAAACACTAATGGGAACATTATAGACTTGTTTGGGTGTAAATTTTCAATCATTTCATGCCCCGAGAACCATCATGTCGTCGAGAACCGATAGGCTATGATTCCAACTAAACTTGGGCATCCTCCGGTTCGGGCTTGGTTCGGACCGGGCTTTGCAAAGCCCCGGCCCTGTCCGGCCCAATACACATGAACGGTGCACTTTTAAATTAAAATAATGAATTTTGGAATATTTAATTGATATATTATACCTATATTTTTATTATAAAATAGTGACTTATGCCATGTTCTGGCTTTTCTTTGAGCTTTCGGGTCGGGTTTCGGGTGGATTTAAATATTAACATGTCCCATAATGTCAACTGACAACAAAGCTTCGTGTCACACCCTCCTGAAGTCACTCGGGTTGAAATAGGGGCGCACACGACCGAATCCCATCCGATCCAGCAATCTACAAGTATAAAGCACCCAATGAAGATATGTGGCCGGGCATTCTGGGACTCGTCAACGGTCAGATCCATGAGGGCCAACAACTGGCAGAACACCCTCTCAGAACAAAAAGAACCCAAGGATTGCGCCACCCACCGGCTCCCAACAGCAGGTCGGAGATCTCAGCGGGCACTGCCGCCACCAC